GGAGCTTATGGAACCAGTCTTTTTTTTTTTTTTTTAAATATATTTTATTGATTTTTTACAGAGAAGAAGGGAGAGAAATAGAGAGTTAGAAACATCGATGAGAGAGAAACATCGATCAGCTGCCCCCTGCACACTCCCTACTGGGGATGTGCCCGCAACCCAGGTACATGCCCTTGACCGGAATCGAACCTGGGACCTTTCAGTCCGCAAGCCCAACGCTCGATCCACTGAGCCAAACCGGTTAGGGCTGGAACCAGTCTTGAGGATCTGGTGCAGGGCCTGAGTCTAAGCGTGTCACAGTGTTTTATCCCTGGTGGGGCAGCCCTTGTCAAGGGGACCCTCTCTTCCCTCTGGGGCAGCACTGATTCAGTCTCTCCTGCAGCAACAGCGCCGCCTGCAGCAGCGCAGTGAGGAAGCCGGCCATCTCCCTGGCTGACAGCACGGACCTCAGGTGAGGCCGGTTAGCCTGAGCGGCGTCAGAGCAGGGCTTGGGGCGTCCTTGGGTTTTCTTGGTGTGGGCCCTGTACGCGTCCTTCTCACACACTCACCTGGGGTGTGATGGGCTTGGGGTGGGATCAGTCAGCCCTGCTGGGGGCTCTCTCGGGCGGGGCTCTGGGTTGAGTCTCCCAGAGGAAATCATGTGATAGGACCGCAGTGCTGAGAATGCCATGGGCCTTTCTATTGGATGGAATGCTGGATGCTACTCCTCACATTCCCACCTTCTCGCACCCAGCTGCCCCACCTGCGTAGGGTTAGTCCTGACAGTTCAAGACGCTCATGGCTGCACAGGAAGTAATCGCAGCTGCTCAAGAGCAAGAGCACCTCCCCATCTGTGAGGAGGAGAACCTGTCTCTGTGCCTTTGGAAGTTTCCAGACTGGGTGTTGGTGGTGTCCTCGCTGTAGTTAGGGTCCCGGGCATCACCCTGCGCGCTCCTGATTTGCACCCACCGTGGTAAACACATCCTGTTCTCACCTCCACCTTGTTCTCTCCCACCGCTGGGTCTTTTTCATTCCAGGAAGCTCAGGGCAGTAAATTTTGTGGCCATTGTTCGCACCTGCTTTGAGCGAGCACTTTGCTAGACATCGAAATACAGAACAGATCGGGTCCCACCTTAGCAACATGAGACAGAAAGAAGCCCACATGCTCTGTGGGACGCTCAGTTTCCTGGCGGTTACAGCCCTCCCATCTGCCAGCCTTGGTGCCCAGGCTTTTCTCGTGTCAGTGGGCGTGAGGAAGCCAAGGGGCTCCCTTGACACCCCCCCCCCCCATTCCGCCCTGTTATCGCCCCCCCAGGGTCCTGCTCAACATCATGTACCTGATTGTGGAGACCGTCCACCAGGAGTGTGAGGGCGATAAGGCCGAGTGGAGGACCATGCGCCAGACCTTCAGGGCCGAGCTGGGTAGGACCCCGGGGTCCTGTCCAGAGGGCCCTCCTGGTGCTGAGGCTGGTGGGTTTGGGAGGGCCCTGTTCCTGTGTGTGCTCCTGACACCGTGGTCACCTCCAGGTTCCCCGCTGTACAACAACGAGCCATTCGCCATCATGCTGTTTGGGATGGTGACCAAATTTTGCAGTGGCCACGCCCCTCACTTCCCCATGAAGAAGGTTCTCTTGCTGCTTTGGAAGACAGTACTGGTGAGCGCCTCCTGGAAGGGGAAGCCAGGGGACAGGGCCGGAGAGGGGCTTGGACCACTCCCCCTGGGGGTCACCCTCCCTCTCAGAAGGAGCCAGCCCTGTGGAGCTTGCAGGCGAGGCTCTCCAGTCTCCTTTTTACATGAAGAGCATGGCAGACAAGAGAGCTGAGCGTGTGTGTGCACTAGGCTCGGTCAGCCCGTTTCTCCTCTCCCTTCCCGGCCTCACTGAACTCTCCTGGGGTGGATATAGTCCCTTGTTCAGAGGTCGAGAGGGTCTCTGTAAAGATGTCATGGGTGCTGTCGCGCCTGGCACAGCCTGTGGGCGTGTTGACCCCGGCCTGCTCCCATCTGATGCAGTGCACGCTGGGCGGCTTTGAGGAGCTGCAGAGCATGAAGGCCGAGAAGCGCACCATGCTGGGCCTGCCCCCGCTGCCTGAGGACAGCATCAAAGTGATCCGCAACATGAGGGCCGCCTCGCCGCCCGCGTCTGCCTCCGACCTGATCGAGCAGCAGCAGAAACGGGGCCGGCGGGAGCACAAGGTGAGGGCAACAGGAATGGCCTCAATGGCTTGGTCAGGTGAAGGCCTCCAGGCAGGGTCACTGTCCCCAGTGCAGGGTCCCAGCTTACAGTGGGTCTCAGGAAGGACTGGGGCAAGGAATGATTTGCCATCTGGTCCCAACCTTGACTTCCTGTCTGGTTTCTCACTGCCCTTTCTGTGTCGCAGTCTCTGTAGCTTCCTCGGTCTTTTCTGGTTCCTCAGTGGGCTCTCGTCTGCTCTCCCCCGTCTCCAGGCGCTGATAAAGCAGGACAACCTGGACGCCTTCAACGAGCGGGACCCCTACAAGGCCGACGACTCTCGAGAGGAGGAAGAAGAGAACGATGACGACAACAGTCTGGAGGGGGAGACATTCCCCCTCGAGCGGGACGAGGTGATGCCTCCCCCACTACAGCACCCCCAGACTGACAGGCTTACCTGCCCAAAGGGGCTCCCATGGGCACCCAAGGTCAGGTGAGTCTCAGACCTTTGGAAAGCTCTTGGCCTAAAACCAGGGCCCTCACACCCACAGGCCTGGCACCTGGCCTGGGTCACGTGAGGTCCTCTGCTGGGACAGGCTGGGCTTGGCTCTGGGATGAGGCTCCCTTAAAGTCCCCTGTGCTGGCCCGGGTCTTGGGGGCTGGCCTGGCTGGGCTTGCACAAAGAGGCCCTTGTGTGGCTCTGGAGTGGTAATCGGAGCTCGCTCTTGGGTAGACATGATAACTAGTGAAGGGGGTGGGAAAAATGAGAACAAGGACATTTAAGTGACCCCATTGCCACCCCCCTGAGGTTGTATGTGGTTAACAGAAAAGTGATAGATTAAGGAATAGCTCCTTTAGAGCCGTAATTCAGGTATTGAGATATATGTGCATGAATCAGTGGGCGAGAAGGCACCTTGATGTACAGAAATGATGTCTGTTCGAAATGGCTCCAACTTAAGAACTAGATGGACATGTGAGAGGATATAGAACTCATTTTCTCCATCCAGGTAAAGCCCCAGTTTTCCGTGATCCGTGATGGGAAAACACACAAGTCTTCAGAAAATGCAGGATACACTGATTGACAGGAAAATGTGACTCATGAAAAAAAATCAGTAGCTTATAGCTCTCGTTGTAAAAATTTTAAGTGTTTGAGGAGTTCTGTTGACAAAGGTCTTAATATCTGAATAAAGTATGCTTTTAATTCAATGTATCACTTTAATTTTACAAGTACTGTAAACAAGTTACACATAATATAATTGCAGGTCATTGATTCAACATTATGAAGGACATTAAAATAGTCTTGAAGGTTTCAGGGTTTTTTTCCATAAAGAAAAACAGTTGAGGGAGACTTTTTCTTCTGTCTCCACAATTTCTGGATGTTCTGTATTTTATTAACCATGACACCTTGAAATAACATTTAGTAAAAGCCTTGCTTTCTCTCTCTTGGGCAGAGAGAAAGACATTGAGATGTTCCTCGAGTCCAGCCGCAGCAAATTCATAGGTTACACTCTGGGCAGGTGAGTGTGATCTGAGTTCCTTTTGAAGAAAAGTAGCGAGAAATCCACTCTCTTGGCCTTTGGTGTTTGGGGACCCAGGCGGATTGATGTCTGGGCTTAACACAGGGCCTTCTTTATCCTCCAGCGACACGAACACAGTGGTGGGGCTGCCCAGGCCAATCCACGAAAGCATCAAGACTCTGAAGCAGGTCGGTGGTGTGGGTGAGCTTTTGGCCTAGTTTGGTCCCAAGTGAGTGAAGTGAGATCGGCCCGTTGGGAGAAGCCATTTAGAGTGTTGTCGGCCTGAAGGAGCCTGGGCTGGAGGCATGGGTGGACGGTGGCAGTTCCTCTCAGCAGTTCTTCGTAAATTCTACTGATTCTAGCCGAGCTTTTGTTGGGGTCTTAACTGGTGGCTCATTCAAGATCATATTAAATGACAGTTGTTGGAGTTTTAAGGGCCCACTAAATAGCCCCCTTTCCTTGCTCAAGTTCTAAGGCGATTGAGATAGAGGAGTAGGCAGGTGGAGATAGAAACACCAGCTTTGAGGCTGGCAGAGACGTTAGAGACTGAGGCGAAGGGCACTGCAGCCATAGGTGTCCCAGCCCTGACTTCCCGAATGAGGCAGACTCCCCCACCCAGAGCCAGGCAGTGCTGGAGCCCGCCGGCCTGCTCGAGGAGCAGAGGAGCGCACAGGCTTTTGTTCAAGAGAAAAGCGAAAGGGGTGGGCTTAGCATGTCCTGTTCCTCTGCCCAGTCAGCCAGGCGGGGTGTGTGGGAGGGGCAGGGGTGTATTGCACATCCACGTCCTCCACGGGGAGGAACACCAAGAGTGGTAAAGAGGTGTCTCCCTAACAACCCATCTGGAGTGTAAATGTCTATGTTTTTGGAACATATTTCTGAAATGTTTAGTACTGAGTGGGCCCCATGCTTTTTGAATACTTGATCCCAAATACTCGAGTACTTGATTCTGCTTGGACTAATTTTTCTGTCACTATAGCTATCTGCAAGCCCCTTTCTCTCCCTTAATTTGCTTTTTTCTAATCTTTTATGTGCTTTTTAAAAAAATATATTTTATTGATTTTCTACAGAGAGGAAAGGAGAGGAATAGAGAGTTAGAAACACTGATGAGTGGGAATCATCGATCAGCTGCCTCCTGCACGCCCCTCACTGGGGTGTGCCCGCAACCAAGGCACATGCCCTTGACCGGAATCGAACCTGGGACCCTTCAGTCCACAGGCTGACGCTCTATCCACTGAGCCAAACCAGTTAGGGCTTTTTTATGTGCTTTTTATACTGGTTTTAAGAGGCAAGTGCTGCCCAGCTGATGTGGCTCAGTGGTTGAGCATCGACCTATGAACCAGGAGGTCATGGTTCAATTCCCAATCAGGGCACATGCCCAAGTTGTGGACTCAGTCCTAGTAGAGGGTGCTGAGGAGGCAACTGATCAATGATCCTGTCAAATCATTGGTGTTTCTCTCTCTCTCCCCCTCTCTCTTTCCTTCTGAAATCAATAAAAAAAAATTTTTTTTTTTTAAAAAAGAGGCAATTGCTCACTTAGGAAAGTATTTTGGGTTCAGGAGGTTAGTTAGGGATCTTTGTGGAGATTCCCTCTTGGAGAAGATTGTTTGAAGAAGTTGCCCGGGTCTTTGCCAGGGTGTGGGGCGTGCAGCCAGAGAGTGGGAGCTGTTCCCAGCGCCTCTTCCCTTCTCCCCAGCACAAGTACACGTCGATCGCGGAGGTCCAGGCGCAGATGGAGGAGGAGTTCCTTCGCTCTCCTCTTTCAGGGGTGAGTTGGGGCCTTCCTCAGCCAACAGGATCCCTCCGCTCTTTCCAGGCACAGTGCTGGGCCTAGACCACGAAGCTGCCTGGTCCTGCCCTCTTGCTCCCCCTGCAGGGGTGGCTTATCGGGTGCCGGGGTGAAGAGCACAGGCTCTGAGCCAGTCACCACCTCTGAATCCAGCGCCACCACTCGGGGTGACAACTTCGCAGGAGACTGGATCTCTGTGCTTCAGTTTCCTCACCTGTGAGATGGGGATAATAATCATGCCCTCTTCACAGAGTGTAGTGAGGACTAATGGGCTTCCTACAAGGAAGGTGCCTGCACGTTGTCAGTCAGGTGTGCTGTCACTATCCGCATCGTTGTTTACATCAGTGCTTACAGCCCCTCCTCCAGCCAGCGAGGCAGCTGGCTCAGGAGACTGTCAGGACTGGGCTTGAATCTCTACCCTTGTGGTCAAAGGGAGAAGAGGAAGTGGAGCAAGTCCCTGCAGAAACACTCTACCAAGGCCTGCTCCCCAGCCTGCCCCAGTACATGGTGAGTCCCTCCTCAGGCTCCAGCCTGCCTGCCAGTGCCTCCAGTCCCTCCTGAGTGCCTGCCCCTGGGCCCCTGCGAAGGGACCACCTCTCCGGGCTGAGGCCTGCACCTGGGCGCTCCTGTCCTCCCAGATCGCGCTGCTGAAGATCCTGCTGGCTGCAGCCCCCACCTCCAAAGCCAAAACCGACTCGATCAACATCCTGGCCGACGTCCTGCCTGAGGAGATGCCGTGAGTACCGTCGCCCCTGTGCGTGGAGCAGGTGGGGCAACAGAAACGGGCCGTGTCTCCCTTTCAGTCCCCAGGTTTGGGAGGTTGCTTCCTTTCTTGACTCAACTTCTCTGCAGGTTAAGTTGAGGGTATTCCTGGCTCAGAAGAAAAATAAGTACTGGGTTAAATATCTCGATTTGCTGCTTGGGGAGAAGGTCAGCCCAGCTGGCCTGGATTCTAGTGTAGACTCTGCCCTGAGTGGATGCCTGAGTGACCGGGAGAGTTCTCACCCCTCTGCAGAGTGAGTTGGGCTGGGGCGACATTTCCCAAACCCCCCCAAAGCTGTGTGGCTGGGACATCAGGACGGCGAGATGCAGCTTCTGGACACCGTGCCAGCCAGCAGCTGAGCCTCCGCTGGGTGTGGCTCTCCCATTCACAGTACCCGGCCTGCGGGCCGTTTGTGAGCGCCTCAGGTGACAGTGAAGTCCTCAGGGCGCTTCCTCCCTGGGGCACTGACCGCCTCTGTTTGATGTGAGGACAAACCGAGATCGAGATCATGTTCTACTTTGAGAGGGAGGTGGCCTTGACCTGGCCTCCTGCCTGCCCGCTCATCCCGCCCAGCTCCCTGGTGGCGGGGCTCCTTGAGTCTGGGGTGAAAGGCAGGTGAGGCTGGAGGCAGGGCTTGGCTAATACCAAAGGGGGTGTCAGAACACTGGGCCATTGTGATGGTCCTTGGAAAGGGGGTTCCTGAGTCAAATACTGTACCTCCTCTTAAAAGACTGACAGTGAGAAGTCTTGAGTCAAGAAACCGATTTAAGTGTCTGATCACTATGTTATACACCTGGAATGAGTATAATATTGTGTCAAGTGTAACTGAAAAATAAATTCAAAGAAAAAAGAAACTGATTTAACTCAGTGCTTCCTAAGTTTTCCCCATAACATGAAGCATACTGTGTGGTGGTATTCCACAGAGCACGCGCGAGAACACGGTCCCTGTAGTGGCAGAAGCTTAGGGGGATCTTGAGAAGTTCACTGTGGAGGAAAGGCAGGGAAATAGGCTAAGGATGTGTTTAGAATCACAGGAAGAGAATTATGCTGAGCTTGGGAGCTGGGTGGGAGGAGCCCTGGGCCTGACCTGAGATGTCCACGGGTCGGGGGTGGAGTGGGAGCCTTTGCCCAGAGAAGGCTCAGGAATCCCGTCTCCTGTGAGCACCTAGGAGGGCGCTGAACAAGCTGCGGGCTCACCCGGCCGTTGTGTTTCAGCACCACAGTGTTGCAGAGCATGAAGCTGGGCGTGGATGTGAACCGCCACAAAGAGGTCATTGTCAAGGCCATTTCCGCTGTCCTGCTGCTGCTGCTCAAGCACTTCAAGTTGAACCACGTCTACCAGGTACCTTCCAGGCCTCCTTCCTGTCCACTGGCCACGGCCTGGCAGTGCTGCCCTCCAGGCCTGAAGATGGAGGCCTTGGCCTTCAAACGTTCTGACTCAGTCTTCCAGCCGAGGCCTTCTATCCCGGGAGGAAAGACAGGAGAGACGGGCGGCCCCCACGGGTGTGCTGATTGTCTTCTGTTGGTTTCAGTTTGAATACATGGCCCAGCACCTGGTGTTTGCCAACTGCATCCCTTTGATTCTAAAGTTCTTCAATCAAAACATCATGTCCTACATCACTGCCAAGAACAGGTGACAGGGACCAGGGCTCAGGAGGGGGGCCCGGGGCCAGACGGCAGGGCTCCCAGGTAGCCGCTCCCACTGAACCCACTCAGCACCTCTAGGCCAGCACTCTGCCAGGCTTCTCAGAGATGAATGAAGCATGGTCCCTGCCTGTGGAAAACACCGGTGTGTCAAATCCGAGTCTAGCTATCTAATGACCCATGACTCGGTCTGTGCCTGGGTGGGAGGGGTCTCATCCTGGGCTCCAGTACAGCCCTCACTGTCCCGTGCCTTTTAAATTTAATTAATTAATTAATTAATTTTGAGGAGGCCAGCCAGGCTGCCTGCTCTCCCTAGGGAGCTCAGCCATGTGCGCTGTCACGCCCTGTCTGCTGACTCCTAGCCCCCATCTCTCTCGCCTGGTGCCACCTGTACTTGGCAGTGCCTGCTCATCAGTGTGGTACATCACAGGGCAAGTCATCAGCTGACACTGTCTCCCGAGGGGCTTGGCATACACTCATTGCCTTAAGAAGTCTCCCCCAGCCCAGGTGCATGGCTGCGGGGAAAGCAGGGTCTCCACCCCTTACACAGTGTCAGGCTGGTCTCTGGCCAGGGGGACCCTACAGTTTCTCTGGGAGCAGGTGCTTCCTCATCTTAGAGCTGGAAACCAGGGTGGTGCAGGCAAGGTAGATCCCGCTTGCATCCCAACGAGTGAGGGAGGAGAGCAGAGCCAGACCCAGCCTTTGCTCATGGTGGGCGCCGGCCTGCCCTGCCCTCACAGCATTTCCGTCCTGGATTACCCTCACTGCGTGGTGCACGAGCTGCCAGAGCTGACTGCTGAGAGTCTGGTGAGTGGCCAGGCTCTACCGGCTATCCCTTTGGTGTGAGGGTGGGTGGTGCAGAGCCCGGCTCCCCCACCTGGGATGGAGGAGTCTTCACAGATGAGGTCCTATCAAGTGCCTGGCTTTTAGAGCACTAATTGCATACAAGGGCGGGGAGGGACCTTGTAGGGCAGAAAGATTGGGGGGTAGGGATTCCTCTGTTGGGAGCATGGTCTTCAGGGGCTGGTGACCCAGCACTCACCAGGCCGAGTTGCTTCTCTCCCCGTCGCTGGGACTGTGGGCCCAGCTCTGAGGGATGGAGTTTCCCGGGGGCTGAGGAGAGGAGTGGGTGCTGGCAGGTCTCAGGTCATGCATGTGCCGCCCTGGAAGCTGCTGAGCCCCTGCCCTGAGGGTCGTGGTTCCTGGGCTTTCCCTGCAGGAAGCAGGCGACAATAACCAGTTTTGCTGGAGGAACCTCTTTTCTTGTATCAATCTCCTCCGGATCTTGAACAAGCTGACCAAGTGGAAGCACTCAAGAACGATGGTGAGTCAGCGCGGTCAGCGTGGACCCTGTGACAGTGCCACGCCCGTCCTCCCCTGAGCAGGAGCAGGGGTCCGGGGTGGGCTCGCTGCTGTGGCTGCATCCTTCCTCCTCACTTTCCTGCAGCCGCATCCGTGTATTTTAAGGACTGATTCCTGGTTCCTTGACAAGTCAGGGAATTCATAGCTTTCTTCAGATTCCAAAACGACTCATAATTAGGGTGGCCAGCGGTCCTGCTTGGCCTGGGACTTGGCGGTTTTAGCTGTGAAGTTCCGCGTCCCAGCAAACTCCTCAGTCTGGGGAAAGCTGGGACAGTTGGTCACCCTGCCCATGACCGCAAACCGGCTGAGCAGTGGCTGGTGATGCAGGCATTATTTGTGCCCTCCACTGTGCCCGCCCGTGCCCTTCCAGATGCTGGTGGTGTTCAAGTCCGCCCCCATCCTGAAGCGGGCCCTGAAGGTGAAGCAGGCCATGATGCAGCTGTACGTGCTGAAGCTGCTCAAGGTGCAGACCAAGTACCTGGGGCGGCAGTGGCGCAAGAGCAACATGAAGACCATGTCTGCCATCTACCAGAAGGTGCGGCACCGGCTCAACGACGACTGGGCCTACGGCAACGGTGAGGCCTGCAAGTGGGTGCTGTGGGGGTCGGGCAGCGGCGACCTCTCCCCCTCTGCTCCAGGCCGCCCTGAGGAATCAGGTGGGAGCGTGAGGAAGGACCTTGAGAAGCTGCCCAGACTCGGTGTCTGATCATCCCCATTCCTCTGTCCCTCCCTCGAAGTTCTGCCTTTTCCAGAAATTGTCATAAGTCTCTCTCCCATCTTTTCTCTCCCCCCTGCCCACAAGTTCTCTCAGCTCTTGACCAGCCTCAGACTCTGCTCCAGTGATCTTTCTAGAGTGCGGGTCTGCGGGCACCTCCGAGGAAAGGCCTTCACTGGCCTCCTATTGCTCTTGGAATTAGAGCCAAACTCTCACATGTGGCGTATGAGGCCCACACTCTTGCCTCCTCCCCTCCTCCTCTCTAACCGGACCCAGCTTCTCTGCAGCCCAGCCTGTCACTCCGGGTCTCTGGGCACACGGGGCACTCAGTCTGTGCATATAGCCTGTGGCCCTCTTCTGTGCCTTCTGGCAGGGTGCCTCCCCCACACCCCGCACCCCCACAACTGTCCCGTGTCCGCGTGTATTCGTTCCCTTCTGGGCAGCCGCCTGGGCCTCCTGGGCAGAGT